CGTTGCCCTGCGGTGCTCCCCGACGGCTCTGGGAGGGGAGGGGGGTCTAGTGGGTAGGGCTGGGAGCCAGAGCTCTGGGGTTCTCCCCCACAGCTCTGGGAGGGGAGTGGAGGGGAGGGGAGGGAGGTCTAGTGGGTAGGGCTGGGAGCCAGAGCTCTGGGGTTCTCCCCCACAGCTCTGGGAGCGGATGGGGGGGGTCTGGTGATCAGAGCCAAAGAAAGATTTCATGCGAGGAGAGGGAAGGTGCCTGCTAAGCCAGTGGGGTGGGAGAGTGCAGAGACCTGCCTGCCAAGGGAAGGGCCGGGCCGGGCGGCCTGACCCTTGGCTGCAGGAATGGGCCTGGCTGAGTCTGGCCCTCTGGCGTCAGTAACCTGCCGTCTCTGTCCCCAGGTTGTGCGTAAGAGTGACGCTGACAGGGTCACGGTGATCGGAGCCGGGGTCACACTGCATGAGGCCCTGGCTGCTGCTGACGAGCTCGCCAAGCAAGGTAACCAGCACTCAGGGGATGGCCATGAGCTCGCTCCCCCATGCTCCTCTGCCCCTTTCCTCCTCTGACCCTCTGTCCCTTCCAGGCACCCACATCCGGGTCATCGACCCCTTCACCATCAAGCCCTTGGATGCAGACACCATAGTGGCCAGTGCCAGGGCTACTGGAGGGCGCATCATCACCGTGGAGGATCATTACAGAGAGGGTAGGAGGCTAGCGGCCGGGGGCTCCCAAATGCCTGTGGGGGAGGGGGGGGGAGCAATGGCAGGGTGGCTGCTCACTCCCATCCCTTGGATGGCTGGGAAATCCCGAGCAGGAGGGTTATTTCCCATTTTAGCACTGGGCAACCCCGGCAGGACTAGGGTGTCGAGGAATCTCAGCTGGGATGGGGCAGAGGGGACCGACCGACCGCATGTGTTGTGTAGCCTAAAGCGCAGGTCCGGGCGTTCGCTGGATACCACGGGAGAAGAGCTGTTGAAACTAAAGGAGGATGTTGGCCCAAGAACAAAGGGGCGTGAACTGGCCAAGGATCGACTGATGCTGGAAATAAGGTTTCCAGCCATCACGGGGGTGGGGGAACCTGCCGGGAAGTTGGATTGTGACAGGTTGTCTGGGCTAGAACTAGAAGGGATCTCCTGGGTCCCAGGGCTGGCTTGTGAAAAGCCAGGCCTGCTGGCAGAGCTGGAATGGAACCCAGGTGTCCTGCGAGCCTGTCCTGCCCACGTGACCCATCTCAGAGGGGCTGTGACTAGCACACCGTAAGCAACGGCCACTTCTCTGGCAAGGAGAACTAGGGCTGTGTAGCTTGACCCTTCTCTCTATGCTAGGTGGGATTGGGGAAGCAGTGGCCGCGGCTGTGTCCGGGGAGCCTGGCATGGTGCTCCAGAGCTTGGCTGTGTCGGGAGTGCCCCGGAGTGGCAAACCGGCCGAACTCCTGGACCTCTTCGGGATCAGCGCCAAGAGCATCCTAGCAGCTGTGAAGAGCACCTTTGCCAACTAACGCTGTGGCCATGTCCGGGGCGAGGAGAGCCAGCTGTTTTCCGGTCCCCCACCCCCAGCCCAGCCCTGTTCTTTCTGCTAACTTCCTGCTCAATGTGACCGAAACTGCTGCTCGCACGTCTGGGGCTTGTGATTCCCCCTCCTCCCCCCCGGCCTGGGACATGACTCACCCACTTGCCCAAGCCCAGCTGGTTCTCTCTCTGCACACTAGCAGGCTAACATTCCCTCCGGTGGTTGAGCAACTTCCACCCCATTCCCCTGCTGAGCTCCTGGGCCGTAGACATTCCTTGCTAACCCATGAGTAGTTACCAAGTGCTGCCTGCCACTGCTCCCATCGTCTGCCGGGGCAGGGGATCTGCAGGGCAAGGAGAGGCTGCCCCTCCCCTGGCCAGTGGGGCCTCTGTCCCTGGGGTAGATAGTGTGGGGGCAGGTGTTCCAGGCACTGCTATGGACCAATCTGTACTAGTCTTACCTAAAGCTGGTGCGGTGCAGGCTTCGTCCAATAGCTGCGCTCGGGGGGCCCCGCTCCTAGGGGAAGGAGACAAATATTAATGCAGCAGCAGCAGCGTCTTCATCTGCTATCAGGACATTCCTGGCGCGATCCAGGCCTCTGGCTCGGTCAGTGTTAGAAACGACCAAACCCAGCTGTCTTCCGGGGCCGACTGCTGCCGCTCCAACAGGGCGGCTTCCCTTCACCTGTGCTTCCAAATAAAAGGGTTAAACGGAGTTGGCGTGGTGTGACTCTGAGAAGCAGGGCAGGGGCTTGGCTGCTGGACTCCTTGGCAGGGTGGCATGAATAGAGCAGTTTATATCCCTGGGCCAGGGCAGCCTGTGCCCAATGTCCCAGGGTACCCATCGGGCCTGGCCCTCAGTGCCTCACTCCCAGCAGTCCGGGGATGCCGTGCTGGTTGCCATGGGCCGGAAGCAGGGCTGCTTCAGAGAAAGGCTGCCCCTGGGCGTGACTGAAGGCAGGAGGCAGCCATCACTGCTGCAGCTAAGGGCCCTCACAAGCTGTGCATAAGTGGTTTGGCTGGGGGTTATGCCAAGGGGGGGCCATCAGTGCTCCTCTGTCACTACCATCAGCCCCTGGGGCAGGGCTGTCGGTTGGTGTCACTCACGCTAATGGGAGCCATCATGGCTGCCAGTCAGTGCCCCTCCCATGAGCCCCTGGGGCAGGCAGGGCTGTCGTGTGGTGTCACTCAGGCTAAGGGGAGCCATCATGGCTGCCAGTCAGTGCCCCTCCCATGAGCCCCTGGGGCAGGCAGGGCTGTCTGTTGGCGTCACTCACGCCAATGGGAGCCATCGTGGCTGCCAGTCAGTGCCCCTCCCATGAGCCCCTGGGGCAGGGCTGTCGGTTGGTGTCACTCACGCCAATGGAAGCCATCATGGCTGCCAGTCAGTGCCCTTCCCATGAGCCCCTGGGGCAGGCAGGGCTGTCGGTTGGTGTCACTCATGCTAAGGGGAGCCATCGGGGCTGCCAGTCAGTGCCCCTCCCATGAGCCCCTGGGGCAGGGGGGGGTTCTCTGGGGGGATATTATAGGGGGCATTTCCCCCGCCCCTCACCTCAGAGAGGCGGGAGGGAAGGGCGGGCCCCTCTGATTATCTCAACCAATGGGAGAGAGGACCACCCCCAAAGAGGTTCGTTCCCATGGGCTTTGGCCCTGTCAGTCAATGGCTTCCCGCCCTCCACCGACCGTTGGGCGGGTCTCGAGGGGCGGAGGGAAGCGCCAGCCAATCACGAGACGAAGCCCTGGGGATGCCTCGCGCTTCGTCGGTTAGGCGGGAAGGCTGGGAGAAAGCGAACAATCAGGAGAAAGGCAGGGCGTGGCTAGAGCGAGCTCGTCCAATCAGATGAGAAGGAGGCGTTGCTGAAGGCAGCAAGGCGACGGAGCACACGACAGCGGACGGGGCGTGGCGTAGCTGGCTAACAGCTCGGCCTATCGGCTGAGAGAAAGAAAGGCAGCGACCAATCGGAAGAGGGGGAAGGGGGCGGGATGAGGTGCCGTCCGGCCAATCACAACGGGGGACGGGGCGTGCGCTCCGTGAGGCGCGCGAGGAATTTCAAACGGGGAGGGGCGGGGGGCGTATATAGAAGGAAGGGGCGGGGCCTTGGCAGGCCTGGTGGCGGCGGCGACAACAGCGGCGGCGAGCGCGGAGTAGCGGCCGGGTGAGCGCCCAGGGGCGGGAGGCGGCCGGGAGCCGCCCGGCCGCGCCGCTCTCGGGAGCCGGGCTGGGAGGAGACCCACAAAGCCAACCGCCTTGAGGGGCCCGGGCGCCCCCGGCCCGCGCGCGCGGCTCACAGCGAGGCTGGGCGCTGAGGGGCAGGCCCCGCCCCCGCGGCCCAGAATGAAGCAGGCCGGGCTGCTATTGGAGGAGGCTGGCCCCGCCCCCGCCCTGGCCTCGGCACGAGGCGGAGCTGGGGTGCTGGGGCGGGCGGGCGCAGTAAGGGAGGAGCTACCTGGTCTCCCCCCGCCCCTGAGGGAGCATCCTCTGCCCCTCCCCCTCTCCCGCCCGCCCGTGAGGGGGCCTCTGAGCCCCTCCCCTCCTCACTCCTGGGGGCCTCTGAGCCCCCTCCTTCTCGCCCCTTCCCCACGGCGGGGGGGGGGCCTCTGA